TCCAAATTTAAACGATAATGAAACATTTAATTTAGCTCAAATATTCCCACTTTTCAAATTTTGATAGGGAAATAATCAGTCATAGTGATTTTTTATCAACGATAAGCTTTTTTAATTAACTATTTAGCATGCAGCCTGATTTGTGTTATGTGCGCTCAGTTAGAACTCACAATTACTGATAAGCAACGATATAATGTTTGAATATTTTGAAAAATTTTACAAACTGATGGTTAGCAAGTTACAAAATGAATGACATTAATTATCTGTAATTGATTTAAAATGTTATAAATCGTTCAAGTTCAAAGTTCAAAACCAAAATAAACGTTGAAACGATGACTATTGCAATAGTATTTCAGCTTAAAACATGTCGTTTCGTAAAGTAAATGAAAGCCTAAGCATTGGTATATTTTAAAAGTTTTTGTTGATACTTTATCTGTTTGTTAATTCATAAATGATTTTTCAGTGAAAGATTGAAAAAGGAAAAAAATCGTTTGAAAAAATTAATCGAAGAAATGGCTGCTCAAAATGATAAATTGGAAAATCTTCTCCATGAATTATTGCCTCCATTTGCTGCAAAAATTCTTCGTATGGGTCAAACAGTACAAACGTGTAAAAATTAATTATTCATATTTAATTTCATTTTTAAAAATCTTCATCTGACTTTATTCCCTTCCGATAATCGTAATGTAGCATAGGAGGAAAGTAAGTGAGATTTAATTGTTTATGTTAAAATTCGAAATTTGCTAAGTTAAAAGATGAAAGAGGATGAGGATAAAAGAACAAAAGAATGATGCATTGGATTAATTAAATTAATTAATGAATGGAATTTTCAGGTGAATATGCTGAAGCAACACTTCTCTTTTCGGATATAGTAAAATTTACAAAAATTTGCGCTACATGTGCACCATACGATGTTTTCAATATGTTAAATGATTTATACACCAAATTTGATCATATTGCTAAAATTGTAAATATTATTTATAAGTTTTCTCAACCCTTCTCCCATTTCCGCTTTTCAAATGTGCTATTGCAAATTTGAGTACCGAAACAATTTTTCAAAATTTGAAACTTTTTGTTAAATTTTATAATTTACAATAGATCTTTAAAAATCATTGAAACACTCTTAATATTATGATTTTTTTTTTGTTTTTAAATATCATATATCATTGAAATATTTTACAATCAAATCTATTATTTTAATCTTTTAGAATGATGTTTATAAAGTTGAAACAATTGGTGACGCATACATTGTCTCGAGCGGTGTTCCCACGCAATGCATCGATCATTCGGAACGTATTCTTAATATGGCAATTGGTATGCAAATGGAAGTAAACTCAGTGAAGCGTTCTGGAACTGATACACCACTCGAGATTCGTATTGGTGTTCATACTGGGCCAGTTTTTGCTGGAGTGGTTGGAATTAAAATGCCTCGGTTGGTAATTCGAAATTTTTAATTTATATATGGATATAGCGCAAAATTGATGGTAGAAAGTAAAGAAGGAAAGGAATTATTCAAAGTATTGAATATGGAAAAGTTCTTTGTACGGATAGGTATTTTTAGGTATTGCTTGTTTGGGAAAACAGTTTTAGCAACTCGTAAATTGGAATCACATGGTGTACCACGAAGAATTCATGTCAGCGAAATGGCCAAAAAGTATGCCTTTATTGGATTTTCATTTAATTATTATATTTAATTTGAAATGAATATATATAAATTCATCAGTTATTATTTGCTCTATCCAATATTTTATTTTATTTAATTTAATTCCATCTTTAATTGTGATACATTTTCAGTTCTGCATTGCAAACAAATAATCTGCTTGAGTTTGTTGATAGAGGAATTATCGAGATCGAAGGTGTTGGTCAAATACGCACCTATTTTCTGGAAAAAAATGGTCGAAAAACGGTTTGGGATATTTGCGCCCGTATGAGACGTTTGTTTTAATTTTTACGTTGAGCTAGAAAATCATGCATGATTTTTATTTCTCTCATCTTATCTTCAATGAATGTAATTACAATTCCAGAACCAGGACAGTCCATTGATGGCTATTTTGAATTGTACCAAATAAGAAATATTTCGTTAAAAAGAGAAACTCCTTGTAAGGTATGCTTAAAAGATACATGAAAAAAGCATATGAAATCTTGAAGTTATTCGTATTAATTGGCTACATATGAAAATATACGCTTTAAATTATCCAATAACGATCATGAAAAAAAAAAAAACAGAAAGTGGAACAGAAATCTCCTCAATTATCTTCTTCATTACGGTTAACTTTCAGGGATCTTATACCTGTGCAATCATTTGACACTGTAACTTTCCTATCACAAATTTGCTGTTCACAAACAGGCAAATCTTCCAAGCTCGATTATACAAAAAGAATCAAATACAATTCAGATTTCAGAATTCTGAAAAGATAAAAGATAAGATCATTAAGTTTTCTGCGATCCTTCCACATTTTTTGCATGTCAATATTGCAATATATCGATTTCGCTTAATCTACTTTTTTAAGCACTCAACTTATAAACGATGATCAATTTGAAGCATCGTATACACTGATCACCTATTTTGCTTTAACAATTGAAATAGTTGACCGAAAACTCTTTCTAGAAAGTTATTCATTGATCTTACAGTATCTTATTTGCACTTTTTTCCTTTCCTAGTTTATTCAGATCTGCCAAGTAGCCATTGTGACTTAGTTTTTTTTACCACAAAGCATTCCAAATCCTGGTGAATATTTCTGCAAGAGAAGTGTTGAAATCTTAAAATTCTTATAGAAGACAATTCCGATATATTTTCGATACATATATGAAAATTAGAGATAACATAAATATTATAAAAAATAAAATAAAATACATAGCTGCCAGATTACGAAATAATAATATCACTTCTACTTAAATCACAGTGAATGTAAAAAACAAATACAATGATTCAAATGGAAGTCACAAATTTTAATATTAATATTTTCAAATCCAAAACTAAATTTTAAGAGGATTGCAACCGACAATTCACGCTTTTCTTACCAACTTCTTTTCCTGAATTTATAAAATATAATTCATAAATTAATTAAGCAACAATACAAGAAATCAGAAAATGAGGAATATAAAAGTATAATGGTCATAGAAATAATGTCAAAAAATTATGGCACAATTAAATAAATGCACAATAACATTTGATAAATGCTCAGCATGTTTTCCCTGCATTTAGGAAAAATGCTTTCTCTTTTGAAATTGCAGATACTAGCGGAAATAAGTTATTTACAAAATCCCCTAAATTATATTTTATTAATAAAATCATTGTAAATAGTGAAAAAATTTATAACTGAGAAGAAACAATAAAACAATGTTGCGGATCAACAATTTCAACCCATAAAAATATCATTACCAGGTAAGTACTGTGTAAGCAGAATTATTTTTAAAAAAAGAAAAAAAAATTTATGTAAAGAATACGGACAATTAATATTTATGATAGGGATACCACATAAGTTTACTTATTTCTAAACGATTCAGCACACTGAACTTTCTCGCTGCTATCAAGGGAACTTTAGAATTTGCATACTTACTGGAAACAATTTTAGAAATTTATAGCTATGATAGTCTCTGGATGAAAATTCTTCGGTTCATTTTTTACATTTCAATTTTCCAAATAAAAAAACGAATAAAAAAGCGTCAGGATCACCATAAATTAATAACACGAATGTTTTAGCAAGTAGAATTTTTACTTGCGAAACCTTCATCAGGGGTTGACAGCGATGTTGGAAATTCCAGTTTTTGATTGCAAATACCCATTCCAAAAGGCTGAGGTTTTTCTCGGACCGGTATTGTTAGGTCGGAAGAGGAACAGGTATGAATATTGAAGATGCTCCCACGATCGGATGTGTCTGTTGAACCATTCCAAGTTGAATCCGCTGTATGTTCACTTTCACTGAGTGAAGATAACTGTTGATAATCACTTTCTTCCCAAACAATAACGCTGCAAATAAATTTTGCTAAATATACGTATGTGGAATGTAATCTTTTATGATAAATTACTGACCCTTTATAGTAAGTTTAAAGAAATGATAGTCTTCCTTTCTCGACAATAATGATTGAAGAAACAACAGACTGAGTTAATGCTTCATGATATAAGACAGAATTCGATGGATGACAGAAATTTAATATAAAGAGTACACTACAGCACGATATGAATGCTTATAAGTCAAGAAGGGAAAAAAGTACATTCCCCAGATTTTATTAACCCCACAAATCGTATAACGGACAGAAATGTAATATCAAAAAAAGAAAACTTTTCTTAAATGACTTGATAACTTCAGCAATATATAAGAGGAGATAGAGGAGTACAAAGGTTGTCTTTATGTAACCTTTTCATCCATGATTTGTGACTTTCGATTCATTTAGGATGTACTGGAAAGAAATCAGCGAGTATTAATGTTGATTTCACTTTTTAATCTCCTCTTTTAGAGCTTAACCATCGGATGACTTAAAGATACTGTCTACTATTTAGTAATGCAGAATATTAAAGTTCTTGCCCAAAGTATATCGGTTAATATTTAAAGTTATAAATGCACCTAATAATTCTGTAATATACAATATACATCGTGCTAATTTCTGTTGCAACTAACAGATTCAATCTTTTTTTGTCATTATAAAATCAATTAGAACTAACCTAATTCTTTATGACAGCGACCATGATAAGTTTGTCATTATATATTCTGAACTATTCAATAGACCATTTGGAATTGCTTTGTAAAACTATTACTAAGTTTAATAATCGATAAAGTGAAAAGCCTACTTCTACGGTCTATATTGCTGCATTAGTGAAATAATGTTATAATACAAATCAGGATATGAAGGTTAAACAAAAAATATCAATAACTATTAAGCTTCGACAGAAACTCAATAAAACATCTACCGATTACTCTGGTCTCATTTACACTGAAGGAGCTTACTTTGCATTAAACAAAAACACTTACTTCGTTTGTTCTTGATATTGCTTCAATAATGTACGCACCATATTCAATGTGTGCTCAATTTCACGATAAGTTTGAGGTATCGGTATCTCAGTTTCTTTAAAGAAGCACAACATTTGCATTGGATGACTTATTTTCTGCAAAAAGAAATGAAGTTAAAATGCGAAAAAAATACAAAATTAACTGTGAATAGAGAGGTGTTTCACGTAAAGTATTAAGTGTGAATATACTGACTGATCAATTATAACAATACTAACTCTATTTCTTCGTAATGGTTTTTATTTAGCAAATGCATGAAAGAATGGATTCAAATTAAATAAAAAATTTTACGATCATCATATGTGGCTAATTTAATCTGTCATCGTATTTGATCAAACTTAGAAAATACCTGACATGGCTTCTTCGAAGATTTTTTGCAACTTTTTTTCTTCAAAACTTTAACAAGAGATATTTCTTTATCCAGTTCCTGCTCAGATGTGGTACAAACCGGTAATGAGGCTTGCACCTTCAGTGCAGAAAAAGATGGAGGGTAATCTTCTGCTGAATCTGAAAAAATGATCTTATACAAAGTTGATATATTTTTATAGATGATATAATTTTTCAAAAACTAAAAAAAAAGTTACATTTTCTAGAAATAAGTTTATAGTGAGAATAAAAATAAGATGAAAACAGTGAAATATCAAAGTATGCATCAAAAGAAACAATAAAGGAAAATGTACTGTATCGCAATAACAACAACCTTCACTTCCGTCAACAGTCGTCTCTTTACACGTTTTATCTGTTGTATCATAAGTTGATGATGAATATTCCACGAGCATCTGTGACTGCAGTGAAGTCAGATACTCGATCAATCTTTTACATGTCATCTTCTGCTCATAAAACGGTTCCAATGTCTCTTCGTCAATAAAATCAGCAGCTAAATTGGAAGAGTTAAGAATTGGTCAAGATAATTCAAAATCTTTTATAATTTCAACAAAATATGCTAATGGGGAAAAAAAAAACAAACAAGACTGATTGCGGTGAGCAACCGGGTATGTCGTTGGATATGGATAGTTTGAACAAGTTGTGGAAGAATAATGCATGTCCTTTTTATTTTTATTTGACCAATCGATATATTCCGCCCGTTTCTTGTTGTAATTATCCACCAGCTTCTTTTTTTTACCATGTAAATCACGTAAACTATCTTTAAGTTGTAAGAATTCCCGTCTTTGTTGTCTAATATGTCGATCAGTATTATCAAGCTGATTTGTTATTTCACGGATTGATTTCAGCACATTCTAAAACACTTTCTTTTCATTATTATTTTATAAAAATATTTAATAAATTTGAATGCGGATTACTTAAAAGGAACGAAGCAGTGTAAATATAAAATAAATTTTATTATTTTATGAAACTAAAAAAAATGAAATGAAAATAACAAATTTAGGGAATAATATAAGAAACTAAATAAGAGCATGGGAAAAACTAAAGTGAGAGGGAAGCTTTTTTTCTGTACTACCTCTACAAACTGTTAAAATCAGTACATGATCAAAATTTACTGAGAATTCCACAACATTAAACAATAAACTAATCTATGTACACCTTCCTCTTCCTGTTCCACCGACTCCAACTTGTTTTTCATCGAAAAGATAAAGTCGCCTGAAGGGCTGAGAAGCATAATAAACTTCACAATATTAAGAATTAGTGAAAGTTCCGATAAAGAGATGGAATGTGTAGCAACATACACTACGCCGTTCATTGATTCCACATAATTTGAGCTGTATAACCCGTTTCTCTTCCATAATAATATTATATTTCCTGAAGAACGAGCTATATGGCGCAATTAACAAATGATCACTGAATCCATAAAATAAAAAAAGTATTTTAGAAGTGGTTTTTGATGAAATTAATATTATGAGTAAAAATTAATGTTATGACTATATATTTATGAGAAATTACATGAATTATCAAGGTCATTCTCATATCATTAGTACGATCGAGCCTTTACAACTTCTCTGCTTTGATTTGATTTATAAACGACATATATCCAGTGCTCACGCTGTATATTGTAATTTTCTCTATGCAATGATGATAGTTGTAGACATTCACTTCATCTCTCTATATTTACTTGTGTTATTTACACATCGAAGATTTACATTGCTAAGATGTCTTCTATTTGTTGCATTACAAATTTCTATTTGCCATAAAAGTTCTCTTTCTTTTTTTCCTTCCAAACTTCGCTAGATTGCTCTATCAGCCAGAACTCAAAACACGAGATATTGGTTTTCCATAGGCAAATGGTTTTTTTTTTTTAAATCTCTAATGCAAAATTGAGAATGAATTCTTTGTTAATTGATTATCTTAATTTCTATTAAATAAATATTTGACATACTTACGTTAGTTTAGCTCGATTTCGTTTTAATTTGTCGATTTCATTGATTAGCGCTTTTTCAGCACGACTAGAAGTGAATTTCGTTTGAGAGTATGCAGTCTCCAATTCTTTCAAACGTATTGTTAATTTGCTTTCATCCCTGTACACCAAATCATTTTCTATATCGGATAATAGTGCATCCTGTAAATCTTTCATTTTATCATCAGTTATATATAAATGAAACATCACTATTAAATGAACCAAAAATGCTTAGGGAATTGCTAATTTTTTAGCAAATGACTCATTTTTTTAAAATAAATTTTTCTTTCCATGAAAGCAATAAGAATAGCATGCAAGTCGATTCAAAAGAAATGTTAACTTTTAAAACACAAGTCTCCAGAAATTAAAAGTTAAAGATCAAACTTCTTCCGAAGTGCAATTACAGTTGCGCTATATCGATATGTCTTTGTTAAATGAATTATTAAAGCTTTCGAGATTCAAGAAGAAGAAAGGATGAGTTTCACAAGATAAAACAATCGCTAACTTTTTCTGCAAGCAGTTTTTTAATTTCAATAATTTCAATTTTCATTCCATCAGCCTGAAGCTTCAACTGCTCCCTTCTTTTGCGAGGTTCCTGCTTGCTTTGCCTTAATATATTCAAAGTTCCAACAGCGTTGTTCCTTCCGATAATTCTATCGATCTACAAACAAAGGCAGACAATCTTTTCAGGAATATGACAGATACGGTAGAAAAAATTACTTCACGAATCAGTTGAGTCTTTAAAATGTCAATTAGCCCTAAATTAAACTCTCATAACCGTTGTTGAGAAGTGAGTTTAATATGATCTGTTACCAATCAACAGTCAGTTATTACTTTTCTATTACTTACTAAATATAAATTTCTATAAGTATACATGTGGAATAAGACTGAAAACCTCACAATGGTATGTCAATATATGAGGACTACGAAAAGCAGAACTTATACAGAACTTGTGAATGAAGACCGAAAAATACCGACAGCATCGTGGCATAAAAGATATGAGACAACCGATAAAAGATTGAAAAGTCCCCAAATGGATTAAAGAGTTAGTGTAAAAAAAACCTAAAATAGCCATCAAGCAATCGTTAAATATAACCTAGAGATTCTAGGTTATATTTAAGGACTGAAATAAGCAATTTGAAGCGAAGAAAACCAAGTAGTGAAGAGCAGAAATAACCTTTCCGACGGTTTCACTAATATCCTGATTGTATTCACGTAATGCCTTCTGAAAGGCATGTCTATCTGGTACTATCGGTCTCAGGCTGGTTGTCGCAGTAACAACTGTGTCTGTAATAGGACATGTTGTGCCTTTCTCCCCCATATACGACCAATATCGAGAACAGAAAATTCTGCAACAAACTGACAACTTTCAACAAAACAAGCATCGCAGCGAATAAGGCCAGCAGTTTCAAAGCTTAAAATAAGTTTAAATCAACTATTAGCAATCCCAAGTTCAAAACAAATATTAGCAGATAAACCATCTAAACCAAATTAAATGATATAAAAATATTAATGCACTATTTTTAACCAATAAACTCCAAGAATATAAACATGTCTTAAAAGTTGAAGAATATGAATAGAAGCAACATTGAGAGTTAAAACAAAAGGGTTACACCGTGTTAATTACTATCAATGGCACACACACACACACACACACACACACA